TTATTTTTAAAATTACTTTGCAAACTATCTTATTTTAGCTACGTTAAGCCGGCCTAAATAGTTTGATTCTTCTAAGTCAATTAAACTCACAAATTATTGAATAAAAGTATGTTAGAAATAGATTTAAATGAAATTGTCGAGAATAGCGTTTATATTTTAATACGCCCTTGGCGAGAGAAGTGGAAGCAAATTTTACTTTCTCTAACAAGTCCTAGTTTTCAATGCTAAAGTTTCAGACAAGCAAATCCTATTAGAAAAGTTACATTTCCTTTATCTAATGTAGTATTTCGACGTTAAAATATATTTAACTTTCCTTCAATTATTATTTAACTGTTCATAAAAAGTTAGACTGGGTAGTAAAACACATTCTTTAAACTGTCCCATATAGGCGAATTAGGGGTGTTCACATTGTGCGAATGGTTAAAATTAAGCTTTCTATGACTGCCTTAAATTCCTTTTCTTTAAAAGGCATAAAATTTCGAATCTAAGATGTCTTAGTCATTTTAACCAGCTTATATATGTGTATTTGATAGTCATAGTTTAGTGTCACCTGTTTAACATGCGGCCATCATAAGGAAAGCATGTGACTAAGTATTGTAAAATTAAAGTCACTTATAAAGGCAGATAAAACACGAACAGAACATCTTAATACTTGCCCAAGCTAAATATATCTATAGAAGTAACATGTACTAATAGCTGAATTGTCCTTCTAAAAAGTGATTAGATTCAATTATATTCTAAATGTTCGTGACGCAAATCCAAAACTCTAGCTTGCTGTAGAAATGATCCTACTTGTAGAACAGATAATATAAGGAGGTTCTATCGAAACTCCAAACCTTTACGTTATCTAAAAGAAAATAAAAATCAACATCAATAGGATCAGTAGTAGTAAGCCATCCTAAATACGAATAGATACACTGATAACTTCAACAACGTTATTTTAACTATCTAGAAACTCTTTACAGGCTATGCCCAGAATAAGAATGCTAATCATTGCAGCCCTTGCTCGTGGCTATAAGCCAAAGCCATATTAAAAACAGGATAGTTTGTCATTTTCCATAATAAAGAGCATTTAATAAAAGAAGTTTACCTCCATTCGCTTAATAAAATATAATAAAATAATTTTGATGTCCGGAAAAAATTTAAGTTAGAAAATTGTCCTGGGGATTATAAACTAGGCACATGTCCGGACGCATATTTTAGTATCATTTTGTTAAATTAATGAGCATATTTTTCGATGAAAGATACTATTTACAAAGATTAATGCTCTTCCATTATACCCCCAACGTAACCAGAAACCTAATCGTGCGATTTAAATATAACTCTGCTTCTACTTAGATTATTTGTTGGCAAGTCAATTATCACTCTTCTCCTTGCTTTAAGCAACTTAAAGCGACTCGGCTAATTACTCATGAGCTAAACACAAATCTAAAGCTTAGTTAAATTTTTTTATCAAAAAACCTCGAGAAAGTTTAGAATTTTCTGCACAATGTCGTGGTAAATATAATGGATAGATAATCACGCTAGAGTAAAGAGGTGTGTTAGAATCTTATTGTTAATTGATCATACTAATCAAGAAAATGAGTTAAGAGCTCTTGCTTCATTGAAAAACTACTCTCATTGTGAAATCTGAGAAGCCAGGCTTCTTATTTATATTGTGGCTTGCAGGTGTACACTATATACAGTGCATTATTGGATAGGTATGTAATAAAATTTTAAATAAATTCATCCATGTCAAAAATTTAGACTTTAAATAATCATGACTTTCGATTTAACTTCAAATAATGAGTGATTAAATGTGCTACTATTCTATCATGAAAATAATATTCAAATTTTTGTATTTCTTTTAATGCATTGTAGAATGTTTAATTATGGCACGTATATGAAAACCTACTCTATTATGTTTATCTCAGCAAAATAGACATAAAAGTAGTACAGAAAAGTTTGTTTGTTGTACACTTCATGGAATTGGAAAATACTGAGTATTACTGGGTATTACTGGGTATTACTTTAAAGAACACCCGTATTTCTCAATCATGGGATCGAAAATTCTATATGTATATTATATATATCTGGGGAAAGACAAATGAATCCAGAAATTTTATCACATCTTTGTGTTAGTAGGGAAAAAAAACATTTCTAAAAGGCATTTACTTTTATCATATTATTTGTTAAGCTTTAATTAGCGAAACATTATAGTTTAACATTATATTTATAAATATCGTTCAGATTTACAGAAGAGTCCACATTACATGGAGAACTCCAGCCAAAACCCAATAACCCCCTATTCTGCAAAAAAATATCTGCCTCAGATCCATCCAGTGCTGCAGGAAAATGACTCACAAATTCACCACCAACATAAGGGCAACCACAAACAGGCCATGTCAATCCCATTTGACAAAAAAACAGCTGCAGCAACAACTTTATCGACATTTCCATCTAAATATGGAGTTTCGTTTATGATAAAATCACCTCTGCTTATTTGGAGGCGGTCACGAAGGAAAACACTTTCTAGTACCCACCAGGGACCAAATGTTTCCTGCCATGGAAGAGAAACAGTACGAGTCACAAGAAATTTATTTATTTGCCCTGGAAGGCTAAGGGAAGCCGAACAAAGAGCCGATCTGGATCACAAATTCGTGAAAGCTTCAGCCTCTCTACTGCCTGAGCAGACGAGCTCTGATAGCCCAAAAATCCCAGCTTGGCAGAGCAAAAGTGACTACAGCGGCTTAAATGGCTCACAGTCTGACTATGACTTCAATAAGAAATACATTTTTCCTGAGGGGGAATCTGAAAATCAGCACCCACTTTCTTGCGATTATGATCGACGTTCTCATATTCGTCACTACTGTTCCCAACCTTCACAGCCAAGAGCAGTGAATGCCTTGGGTCTTATTAACGCCAGTGACTCGTCTACAGGCTGGCTTCCGTGGGGCAAAAGGTCTCAAAAGCGCAAGTCCACAGACAAGGACATCATTGACTCCAGAAGAAATATATCTCTGATATGTCACGCACCTATTCAAGAAACCGACATTGATGCAGTTTGTGAGTCATCTGGACCAGCCCGAGCCTTTCAGTTATCGAAAAATAAGGATTCCCTGGAAATGACCGACCCCGATGAGTCAGAAGAGCGGGGATCTTCAGGAGCCGAGCCTCAAGAAACAGGGGTATGAATCCAGAACAAAAGCGACTAAAATATATTCTGTAAGTCATGGATATGCTGGATTCAACTAAATGAAAAGCTGCCCAAGATTTCCTGGGTCTTTCCGAGGAGGCGTATTAAATGATGGCAGGGACATTTGAGAGGGACAATCTCGAGCTTCTTATTGTTTCAACTTATTTTGGTCTCTACTAGAATTTCAAGTTTTTTGCTTCAATTTGTTTATATAAGATAATAAAAGGAAAACCTATCATTTTTATAGGTGAAACAAAACTTTATTAATCGCGTTCGATATCTCGCTTAAAAAATGATACACTGCTCTTATTTATTGGCAGATTTTTAGCCAAGTTTAGATATCTTAAACCCACAATAAGTACATACTTTAATGGTCTCCGTGAATAGGACAAAATATTTGATTAATTGAACCCATGAAAACAAAAATGGTGACATGAGATGCATTCACCCTATTTCATCTAAGGTGATGAAGGAATGGTAGTAGAATTTTCCAACAATGATATGAGTTGAGCTGACGTTTTCATTCAATTTCACATAGTCTTGCTTTCCTAAAAGATGTTCTCATCCAGGGTGGACTGCAGTTTCGACCTCGCATCCTTCTTATCAACATCCTCAGCTATAGCAAAAATGGTGACCCCTATTGTTAGAGCCATTTTCTCAGCCTCTAATCCTTATCTTTTACATCCATTTGTCTGTAGAGTGAAAAATCCTGCTATATTGGAAAATAGGTTAAGGGAATTGGGGCATGAGGGCAGGTAAGCAAATAATTTTTGTAACGTAGAGGCTGAGTCTATGAGTTATACGCTTCTCATCATGACCTACGTGGATATACAAAATTAAAGAATTCAGCAAGGATTTTCAGTATAATTTTTAATTCATTCAATTTATTGCAGAAAAGCAATAGTAATACATACCGCTAAAGCCATCTCTACTCCATTACCAAACAGAGGCAATCTAGCCTCTCTTTCATTAATAAGTAGGATTTCGAGACTACCAGTAAATCATATATATGAGGAGTATTAACCATATTTAATTTAAAGTGATAAGGGAACAGGTGGCTGAATTTTTCCACAAAGCTATAAATTTAACTTACGTTTGCATTAAATTTCACATAGCCTTACTTTCCCTTAAGGTATTCTTGTCCAAGGTAGGTTGCTATGTTGAACTCGCTTCGTTCTCATCAACACTCCCAGGGGGACTCGAACCATGAAATGGCATCGTATAATCTAAAAATCTAACCAATACTCTACATTGCCAAGCGTGCTATTGTGTCACAAAGCAGATGGGAATTTCAAGGAAGGGCAGTAATTGTCCTATATTATATTATATGGTGGGTTTGTTTCATAAAACAAAGTTATAGTTGAAATAGCAATTGATTAAAATAATTATTTTTCGTTTTTAAGTTGGTTATCGAGACTATCAGTAGATCAGATATATGAGATGTGTTCCTGCTATTTCGTCTAAAAAGCAAGGCCTTTTCACATATCATTTCTTCATTAGCTTAATCGAAATAGGGTGAATACATCTACTGTTTGTCCCGAAAGCCAAATAATGAACAAAATATAAGTAATGTATTCAATTACTATAGCAAATACAACTTTGCCTCATAGACAATCCTACCACATAATTTGACATGAAAAATGCCGTGCCTTCTTTGAAATTCACATCTGCACCCTGACCAAAGTGCACTTGTAGCAAGGTTATACGCCGCAATTTCATGGTTC